CGCAATGTACCAGGCAGTAGGTGGATATAATAAACAAGTTTATGCATTCTTTGTCTAAGATCTACTCTAGCTCTTTGCAAGAAAAGACAGTATTGACCAGGTACAGCATCAAGGGAGTGTTGTGCAATAAGTTGCAATACAAGATAATGAAAACATGCTGGGAGCCAAAAGGACTCGGTAGGTTGAAGAATAGATTAAGGCGATGGCACTTCCCTGTTGACCAGTGTCTGCTTGAGTAGAACTAAACCCTGCCTGTGTTTCCTTAGGCGTCTGCATCGAGGCTGTCGTCGTCGAAAGAAGCATCATCGGAATCAAGGGGAGCATCGGCGTCAGCAACAACACTGGCCGCCACGACAGCGGTGGTTGAAGAGGCAGCGGTAGTAGCAGAGCTTGCAGAATCAGTTGCTGAGGTTGTGATCGCCGATGTGGCAGTAGTGGCGGTGGCAGTGGCGGTGGTAGTTGGAACACTGGTAGCCGCAGCTGTGTTACTGGCACTGGCACTGGCCTTTGCGGCTGCAATACAAGCAGTTCGATCAGACCTGCACGAGTCCTGGTTGGAGTCCTTGGCTCGGCGGCAAGTGTAGTAGGCATAGTTGCACTTTCGAACGCCCTGCTCATGCTTCCACCACTTCGCAAGACCAGAAACTGAAGGGATTTGGGGTCGGGCAAATGTTCGTGTAGGAGCACCTGTGACGCTGGGAATAGCCAAGGCGGCGGATTTCGTCGTCAAAGTGGCAGAGCTAGTGGCAGAGATAGTAGTAGAACCGGTGGCAGAGCTGCCGCTTTTGACACATGATCCGTAGGCTGAGGCGCAGTCAACCACATTGGTTGACTTTACCAGGCAGTTGTTGTAGGTGCTGATGCACTTCAAGCCGTTCTCTATGCCTTGGCCTTGACCTTGACCTTTGTTACCCGCATCCCTAAAGAGCCATGTGGGCAAGAAGGGAAGAGAAGGCATTTGGCCCTTGGCAGATGTTGGAACAGCAGTGGTAGAGGTAGTGACACTGGCCTTCTTCCCATTTTGAGGGTGCGCAGCGACGGAAGCTGCCAGGCCAGCGACGAGAGGAAGTGAAAACTTCATGTTGTTGTGTGTAACTTATATCGATGGGGATACGATAAGTAAGGAGTGTTTGTGACAAAGACTGCAGATAGAGCAAAGTACTGAAGAGCTTTTGAGTGTGAGTGAGTGAGTGAATAGAGAAGCTCAAAATAAGGATTACCAGGAAGTTGAGGAGCATTTATATATTAATAACTTCATACTTGACATCTTTTGCCTCCGAGTCCAAACTTGACGACACTTGGCATAGCGTTCAAGCTGTCCATGTTCAGGCACGACGCCGTGGCTTGTTGACATTCCCGTCGAAAGCCACGACGCCACTGGCCCTGAAGCTTATCGGAGCATATGCAAGGTCCGGATGTCATGGACACAAAGTTACGGGCGACTAGCGGCCCGCATACTTTGGTCGTTCCTAGATTAATCCAAGATTGGCGTCTTTAAATTCCACAACCGCTTTTCAGGGACAAACTCACTTGCAACTTTTTGCTTTCCGGCTGTTCCTTTCCAAATCATAGACCCTTCATTGTCGGACCCCTCATTCCAAAGCCGGGGCAAACCTGGTCTCGATTAAATTTCGTAGGGAGTCATCGACGATGAGCAGGAGGATCTTGGTCAGCAGTACGCTACGGATTTGCACTCAACTACATCATGATTCTCTTCCATGTTTCCAGAATCGGCACAACCAGTTACCCCATTTCTTGCCACAGACGAGTATGACAACCAACACTCATATGTCATTTGTTGGATCTCCCAACTGTGTCCTTCGTTCGATTATTGTGTTCTGAGCAGTCTCTCTTCTCCGAAAACGGATGGATGACTTCAGTTCTCCACAAGGTCTAGACAGAGCAAGTCGGGATTATGGAGTAGCCGAGACATGTCGCGTGTCTGGGCCGGACCAGACTCGCTTCTCGATCGACTTCCATTTCCGTCCTTAAACCCATTCACCCTACGCCGAAAAGGTTTAGAGGTGGCTGTGACTGGGTCTTGTAAGACACTCTTACTTACTATCTAGTATTTGAGATAGTTGAACGGTCTTTATTGCCTGCCTAAACTCCGAGATGTGGCTGTCTCAGGTGCCTCGCTATGACCACAGATTGTATGAATCATTGATAATGCAGTCCGATTGCTTATATGACTTACCAACCATGCAGCTTGCTAGCATTTAAACGCAGCTTAAAGGAAATGCTAGAAACTAGCTTCCGGGTAATAGAAAGTTATAATCTTAGTCGGTGAATAAAGAACGTCTTGCAAGGTGGGTGGTTCTGAAGATGTTTCTAATATTACCCTCTATGCTATACGATCAAATTTAAAAAGGAGAGGGGAATAAAGGTTTAGCCACCAGTACCCTGTGATCAAAGCTTGTACGCCTGGTCTCTTTTGCACTTTCAAGCACATCAACTAGCATTCAATAAGTTGGGATTCAAGTAGATAAGAAAGTCAAGACCAGTTTCAACTTGGTCTACTATTCCTGCTCCAGCCTCAGTCTCTTGGAGTGTAAAAAGTTGTAATCGGCCATTGCATCCCGCACCAATTTCTCAAGCGTGCGAGCCTCTTCTTCGCCGAATTCCTTTATCCACTTGCCGAGCTCCTGATCAATATCAATATTGCCCGCAACCTTGCTTGTGTCAATCTTGGTGCTTGCATTGATAGAGCTAAGCATCCTCTTGGCACTATCGTTCATCTTGTTTAATTCCTGTTCGCCCACCTTGTCCCAAGAGTAGCGGACCTTGCTTTCGTCAAGGCCTGAGAGCTGAGCATACTTGGAAACCAGTGGAGGGCATGTCATGACATCGTCAGCATCGATGACAATTGGCCAAATACTGTCATTTGCGAAATGCTCTGCATAAAAATCGTATAATGCCCTTTGCCATCGCGTCGTGATCTCTGCTGCCATGGGTTTCTTGCCCGGACGTTTATAACCGTCCATTTCCAAGTCGGAGAGGCAAGTTCGGTAATGAGAAGGTATCATCAATGCAGGGTGACGAATAAGAAATGTGGGATTCCAGGTTTTGAGAAATTCGTCTGGGAAGAGGGTAAGGTTGAGTGGCGATCGAGTTGGCTGAGCAATGTTTCTCATCGCAAGTGGTGCTGCTTCATCTTGAATCACCTTGACGTTATGTACATAATGATTTTCGAATTGCGGATGGGTCATCATAAGAGTATGCTCCTTCACGTAGAGTGTTTGCCCTTCCTGTTCAGCTGCCGCAATATGGTCTTGAAAGTTCTCCAGGCACTTCTGGAGCATGGTGTTAACTATCTCGCTCTCTTCGTGTGTCCAAGTATCCATTGGTTTCTCGTTAATGAGAAAGATCTTGGGCACAGATGGAAGGAAAAAGTATCCTCCGTTGTGAGCTGGACGGACACCCTGCTCGTCGAGATTGAGCATCTTGACTAGCAGGTTGGAGGCAGTACGGGGAGACGTAAGAAGCCAGTACCGCTGGCGTTGCTGAGACTTGGCGCCTTGAGCCATGGTGGATTATGAATGTCGGAAGATCGGTGTGTGATGGAGATGAACAGAAGTAACGAGAGCGTGGTGCACTGATAGGACAAAGATATTTCAGGATAGGGTTGGAATGCGAGTGGTTTGCAAGAGTGTTGTTTTATAGTAGGAAGCAGAGTATTTATATCGTACTGAATTACTTCAACATCAAGATATGTTAGCCACTAGTCATGTATGCCACGGAGGTTCGGTTCTCGGTCAGAGAATTAACCGGCTGGTCGTGCTGGGCCATCGCTATGCATAAGTGGGCAGCGCAAAATGGGAATAAAGTCGGTCGATCACCAGGAGTTTCATGCTATTATCTACTACGGAAATCTCAAAATCTCCGGCCCGATGTTTGTAAGCGGCAGTAGTATTGATGGTGTAGTGTAATAGGAAGAGCGGCATATCTCCTTGTTTCAAGAAACACATCACGTAAAGGCGGTGCATAAGACTGGTCACAATAAGTCTACATAGCTCCTGTACATGCTCCTACGGCAGTGGGCAGTACATAGAGACTATCCCGTTGCATGGTCAGGAAATCCTCAACCTCTGCTTGATGGCTGTTTAACAATGGCAACTATGCATCTGCAAACCCAAGATTGCCAGGTGGGAATAGAAGTCATTAGGCGCCCTCAAGCATTGAAACACCGGTTGCTCTAAGTCTGGAGAACCACTAAGCCTGCCGGTAGTGCATGTAATGATCGACATCCATGAGTTAACTTTTGTCAATGAAGACTCCACTTCGTAGCTCTAATCAAGTCGTATCAGGCCACTCGCGTCGCGAAAAAGTGCGAGTTCCGTGCATACAAGGTTATCCACCATGGGCCGGCCGACAACCGCATTGTCCTTGACTGAATCTCGGACTTTTGCAAAACCCCAGCAGTTGACCGAGTTCTTGGCACAAAGGTCCTCGTTTATCGCCGCTCTATTTTAAGGTTGTTCTGAACTCATTGAACCCAGCTTAAACCGGGTGATAATAAGGTAATGGTTAGCTGCATTAGACAACAGATAGATAAATGGGTTGCAGACTGTATCTAGTATTATATAAAGTGAACATTGGTGAAATATTCGTCTACGTCTGCGGCGGCACTACTGCTATATGTATTTTAACGGTCTTGTAGTTCCTGACTGAGCTCAAGGACTGCTTATACGGTGAGGCTGTCGTATATGATATTATACGGACGTAAAGAGGCTTACTGTTAAATTCAAGTTGACCATGATCCACGACAAGGACAAAGGTAAGAACAGCTATAGATAATACATCCTGGGAATCTTCAGTATGATTTACTTATAACCAGAGCAATATATATTCTCTATTAGAAAACCTAGAAAAGCAAGTCTGTGTTTTCTATGGCGTATGAGAAAAAGATGACCAGATTTGTGTGTTGCAGTTGGGCTTGGTACGCATGATGTGGCGCAACATGGACTAGTCTAGCGTCAAGATTTGCAATTACCCAAGAGGCGGGTTTAGCTCAGTTGGGAGAGCGTCAGACTGAAGCCATACTTCATCATCGATATCTGAAGGTCATGTGTTCGATCCACATAAACCGCATCACTCATTCATTGTCCACACCAAATGGGCATACCTTTTTTGCACCTGGGAAAGCTGATACTTTGCCATTGAGAACAATGGAAGAGACACAGTAACAGACAGAGTCTAGCGAATGGAGAACTTCGACCATGTGTATATTCGCAGACGCCCTCACATGTGCACCAATACTTCCAGCGCATGAAGACAGACAATACTTTTATGTGACTTGCCAGTCAAATGCCTCAGTCAAAGGAGATCCCCTTTTTTATCGATCTATTTCGCAGGCCAGTATTAACTAGTGCATGTGTTCAGAAACTTCTAACACAAGTGACAAATGAAATGGTTGATCACTCGTCCACCTTGGTCACCAAGCCATACCAGTCATAACCTGGGCTGCAATCAGAGCATCTAAGTCTTAAAGACGTCTGGGGGTACCTGAAAAAAGACGTAGTATTCTCCCGTGAGAGACCCAAAGCTACAGATGGTCTCTCTCACACACACACGCGCGCGCGCGCGCGCTATGATAGAAGTGATTCTTCTTCGTAATCAGGCATCAAGCCCAAGTTACAATGAAAAAAAATGGTTTGAAATCAAAAATTCCACCTCCTACGACCCCGAAGGGTAATAGAGCATAGGACGATACCGCGATGTGCAATGCAGATGCCCCAGGCTGAACTCCCATATTCTTGATCATGGGCGAAGTTCCAGGCAAGGTAAGTATGAAGAAGAAAGGAAAAGAGAAACAGAATGGCAGAGGAAATGAGGGATTATATAGTAGCGAGAGGCTGACTGATGGTCTGTGCTGCATCGGATTAATTGCTCCTCTGTTTGTGCCCTTGCATGATGATTTTGGTGAAGAGGTTGGGGAATGAGACGCCTCATTTCCCCAGGTGGAGACTGGAACTGGCGGTGTGATCAATTTCCAAACGCGGAAACATGTTCCAATTGGCTAGCAAACGAGTCAATCTGCCTCTGTAGCCAGTTAAAATAGAGCTTTACATTGCGGTGGATTGCCATATCCACCTGAGCAGGTCACGGATTCTCCCACTTTTTTGATACCTCCAGAGTGCTCACACAGCTTGTTTGAGGCAATAGCCAGACGAGAATATCCAACGGAAAACAGTAGAACAAGTTTCAGCTTCACTGCGTGCTTGTTGGACCGATGAAACGATGCTATCTAAGGGTGTAAAATATGATTTTTATTGCAAGCGGCTCATATTAATTACCGCTTTATCACAACTACCTATGAACTAAGAATTGGGTTGATGGTTTTACCCTATACCTCGGTCAAATAGTCTGTTGCCTGAGGAAGATATTGTTCTTATCTTATCTTGCTCTGGTACAGCTTTGCAACCAACCACCCCGGATCGGAAGAACAGTACTCCGTATCAGCCCAAATTATTAGGCGGATAAATCGTAAATCGTTAAATTGTATTGGTCAAGGGTTTGGGGGCCGTTGTACATGAGGGGGCACCAACTTTTGCGTAACATGGCCAGGCAACTGGTGAGTGCCAGGTCTCTTTTATTAGCGCATTCCTTCACTCTGAATTCCGCGATGGTGGTCAGAAGTAGGCAATATGCTCCCTCGTTATGACACCCTCGTCCCGTTTCTTGATGTGGAACAGATAGCCGAGTGAATCACTTTCAAAATTCGGACCCGCGACATGGTTATTCGTCTGGTGCGAACTCATATTGCGGTTAACTCAGAGCGCATTTGTAGACAGATTATTACACCCTTCCGATTTTATGTCCAAAATATCTTAAGAATGTTGCCGAAGTGCACGTAAATTTGTTTAAGCTGAGGCATTTGAAACGGACAGCCCCCAAAACCCCTCCTATAAACATGGTTGTTAATGCCATCGGCTAAGCGCCGTCAGCAGGATGAAACCCCTGCGTAAGGCTGTGTCTGAAATCTGCAACTGATATCCTCAGCCCTGGGTGAATGGGTCAATTCCGAGGTGATAAACGAATAGTCTGTCAGTCTTTTGGCCCCCAATGCGAGAACGAGTATTCGATGCGAATGCTGCACATAAGTGTGATATAATAATAAATCATCCATTCACATTCTATTCTTCCTCAAATAATGTAGTTTCATTTTTCTGTGACGCCCGTTATGACGGACAGAAACACTCCAAAAACTCGGCCTCAGTACAAGCCTGTCCACTCGGATGAATATCCCCTGGACGGACCATCCGACTACGACGAAAGCCATTACAGGACAGAACCAACAGCGCCTTCGAAGAATAATGTCTCTGTATTCTCCCAAAACCAAGGGATACAAGGGCCAAGAGCCAAGCCAACCGGTTGGCGACTAAAGACGATCCTGAAGAAATGGCGCATACAAGCATTTCAAGCTATAATCCAGAGGAAGAAGAATCCTCAGGTGCCTATTGTGAAGGACCGCTTAACCGCAACCTTGGCTGCCCTGGTCCATCTGCCGGCGATTGCTGGTATCATTACACTGAGCTTCTACATCTTCAAGAACTACTACATTGGCAAGGAGCTTGAAGGAAAACCCAACTACGATGTCGAGAAAAAGCTTGGGATCCAGTTCGCGGCTAAGCTGATGGAAATGTTGATTGTGTTGTCCCTCAACGCAATTGTGTTTTCCATGATCCGGCATGAATTCACGATCGGCCAGTCTGTTCCTTACGGCGCTTTGGTGGCTGGGCAGCAGATATCTGAGATCAGCTTCCTATGGTCTGAGGAGTTTCTCAGCATTATCAAAGGGAAGTTCTCTCGTACGTGGAAGAAGATTGGTTTCATCATCACTGTGTTCATTTGTACAATCATGGCACTGGGTGCCTCGTCTCTCAGTGCCGTTGCGATGATGCCACAGGAAGGTGACTGGAGAGCCGGCGGTAGTTTTGTCTACTTCAACGGCACTCGGGAGGAGATGTTTCCGACTAATTTGACGGATGAAAACACGATCGGTTCTGCTTGCGAAGTCACTGGAAACGAGCTATGCCCGTCCTGGCAGTGGGATGTGATCAATAGCCAGTTGATCTCGAAACTCCGACTGTCAGGCCAGGTGGACGACGGGTTATTTGTCAGGCGACCCCCGAAGGAAATTTTACTTGCCGGATTATCTTCGACACTGGTGAACTTCGTGGTTGATATCAGAGAGAAGTGGATCAACCTGAACAGCCCCAACCATACAGTTGCCAGGATGCCACATCTTGGACCTGCTGAAGCATGTGTTACAACGTCATTGCACTGGGAGCAAGCTGTGGCCGACTCTGCCGAGAGAGGCCAAACTCGTCTCGACAGCTACCAGAAACTCAGCCACAAGCTCAATGCGCCTATGCCTATGACTAATACGAGGTGCGAGCTCACATCAGTAAGCAACACCACAGTAAAGACGAAGACGGTCTTGTTCCCTGACTTCGTGGCATTCCCACCTACAACTCTGAACGTTACGAAAAATGTTGTCAGCGATTGGTTGTCCGATGTACTCCCTGGTCTGAAGAAACCTGAAGTGTTCTGGTTCGACTCAGCACCTATTATCGCACACACCTCTGTCGGCGTAGTAGTAGCTGTGCCCTCTAACAGGTCAAGTGAAGCCGCTGATATCTACGGGTGCATGATTGACGCCCGGTGGGTTATGACAGATTTGAGCGGCGATGCAGTTGGTATGGTTAGCAAAGGCTACCCACCATTCTCCGACCCCATTCCTACCTCGCTCGGAGGCTCCTGGATTGGCAATCAAGGCTACGGTCAGCGTGTCTACCTTGCACCCAGCTTCGCTAAATATCTCAATCCTCTCGACTCGAAGACCAATAGAACTATCATCCATGAGATGCTTCTGAATAGTGGTGTATGGACCGACGATGGTAAAGGGTCAAAATCACCAGCGCATCTAGAGGCGATCCTTGGAGGATTGGCGGCCAACGGTCTTGGGCGATCAACACCCAACATCACTGCCATTACAACTCTAGCTGATCCCGACGGCGAATGGTGGAAGAGTTTCATGCCGCAGGATGGCAAAGTATTTGGTCCTGGTGGAAGTCCCTATTCCGTATCAGAGGAGGACAAGAACCGTTACTTCAAGACAGAGATGGAAACTTGGGTGACCGGGTTTGCCTTTGCCGACAACAGTCTGACGATGCGTGGCGCCATGGCTGTCTTCTACGTCTATGCTCTTCTCGTCATCTTATATTCACTGTGGTCTATCTGGTCAGGTATTACATCGTCCTCGTGGGAGTCTGCGTCGGATATTCTGGCGCTCACTCTTGCAGACCGGAGTGTGGAGGCTGGATCGGGAGATGCGTATGGCCAAGACCCGGACATCATGAGCCAAAACTTCTGTGTTTCAACAGATGGAAATACACTAAGACTGCGGGCAACTAGGGGTTTGGTACCAGTTGAGAACCGGGTTAAACCTAACGAAGCCTACGATTGAGCAGTGTCTGGCTGAAATAGGGTGACGAGTTATTATCTATACTCGTAGCCATGAACCTATGTGAATTGATATATTGTATATTGTCTTGGCCACGTTTCGGTTATGATGTATCATGGCGACGGACTTATGACGTCATAGGCACTTGGCTTGCTCATGTTTCAACCACTCACTACTGGCCAGATGGCATAAGTCAGCAGCCGCTCAGAAAAGAAAACGTAAAATTGTCAAACTCAGCTTTAAAAACAACGAAAAGTCAAAGACTGCAGTCGAGTTTGCACCCTCAATCCTTTGCATCAATTGTCAGTACTGGGACGATGCGTCGTATCCTGCCCTCGGGGGAAAGACCGAATCAAGCCCTAGTGCCAAACATCACGATATCAAGGCCAAGGTTGAACCCAGTGATAGCAGCCTGTGAGGCATGCCGCAAGCGCAAGGTAAAGGTATATGAGAACGTCATCGTTGCTGGAAAATCGATAAGGAACGACGATTGGTTGACGGCTGGTGGTAGTGTTCCGGCGGAAGACCGACATGTCGGCGCTGTTTCCAACGACGCGTGACGTGTTACTATATAGCAAAACCAGGAGAGACGCGTTCACAAGCCCTTAGTCGCCCTGAGGGG